GAGAGAGAGAGAGAGAGAGAGAGAGAGAGAGAGAGAGAGAGAGAGAGAGAGAGAGAGAGAGAGAGAGAGAGAAGGGAGGTTTTTGTAACAGTTTTGCAGGCAAATCTGAATTTGATGATTGCCCGACTTCAAATCCAACTTGGAGAAGAACTTTGCACAGCCCAATCACTCAAGAAGATCAGCAATGGATGGAAAGGGCCCCTCGTTCTTAACCGTTTGCGCGTTGAGCTTATGATAATCAATGCAAAAACATAAGACTCATAGGTCTGTTCTTCTTCCTAACAGAGAGAAAGGGACTCGTAAGTCCTTGGTCTTCTTCCTAACAGAGAACGGGAACACGGTACGCTGAGCCGCTAGGGGTGATCCAACCCTTCGCAAGTAAGTCGTTGAGTTGCGTACGAAGAACTGTAAGATCCTCCTTACGCATACGGTGAATGCATCCTTTAGGTGGAATAACACCGTCCGCAAGAATCATCTTATGCAAGATCTGACGGTTTAGAATGACAGCCGTAGGAGCCTCGAAGACATCCGAAAACTTGTCGAGCAACTGAATCGGATCCGAAGAAGCGTTCGCCGACAAAGAAGCGGTCACTGCGATGACTTGAAGAAAGTAAAGCCTGATTTCCGTGATCCGCTCCAAAGCGCACGTGGCCTGGAAAACTCTTGGCCGAAACAACATGCTACCGAAGGGGGGAAAAAGAAAAGAAAAAAGACCAAGAAGCAGAACAACGACGATAACAACAAAAAGAAGAAGACAACGAACTGCAAGGAACATGAACATGGACGAAGCACAGAAATCCAGACTGCAAAATCACACTGAAGTCCAAGTAGTCAAAGCAAGAGCAGATAGCACAATGGAACCGATTAACCATCCATTTGAGAACGATACAGAAGAATCGTGAGTCAATGTCCAAGCCCAACAGGACTACACCAACAACATAATCCAATGTAGCTCTCTCTCTTGAATGGCGCCAGGCGCCCTACCTACTCTACAGCCTAACACTACAACTACAGTATGAAAGCAACCAGACAACTTGACGACCAGCGAGTGATGATGTCAACTCCAATGCCGACCTCCCGGCTCCACCAGGTATGTCTCTCTCTTCACCCACACTCTCCCTTGATAACCCACACAGCGCCCTCTTTCACCTCCGAAGAACCACCTTCGCCCTCACCTCCCCTGCGCCCTCAGGCAGCCCGGCTATGGCCGCCAGCGCCCTACCGCCTAGCGCCTGCCTGTCTCGCACCTCAGCCTAGCGCGGCGCAGCAGCTCGTATTCGTGCAGCGTGCCGGCATTGCCCACAATGGCCAAGATCCCAGCCCACTCGCCCTGCTTGCCTATATGCCAGTGTTGCATGTGGGCGGCCTCCCTTCAGCCTGCGACTGGGCCCCAGTGCCTGAACCCAGGCCCGATACAGTTGGGGCYYGGGAGATGCAGTTGCGCCTSTTTCATCAAGGCCTGCGGCCAGATTCAGATAGTGGGCCGGTTTCCCATTGGCATTTTCGGCCTCTATATCCAGCATGCATTGTCGGCCTCACGTTTATGTGCCCAGGGCCTAACCAACTCAGAGGCCCTGGGATTTCCGCATTTGCAGAGATCCGAGACTCGGTGCACTCCAACCAACTGGCATGCTGCAACTGTATGGACCCCACTTCATGAAATGTTTGCACAGAGGGCTCTTGTTGATTTGCTGGCCCGCCTTCACTTAGGGCAGGCACGAGGCTTGCTGGGGCCGTAGCCTAGAACATGTACATCATGGCAAGGCCCCTTCTTGAGGGCTCAATCCTCACAGAACAACAACAAGGCCAAAAAGAAGAAAAAAAAGGTGGAAAAACAGTGGCCATAGACTGTTTCCCGTATACACATCAATAGAATGGCAAGTTCTCTCCACATGGATTGTTGTTCTCGATAGAAACGCGCAAATTCCCCAATGCATTCCGGCCAGGCTGCGCTTGTTGCACTCCTCAGGGGCCTTGTCCCAAGATCGCCTCGCGGCCCCACCGACCTTCCAAATCATCTGAGAATAAAAGGTCGTCTGCCTTCACCTACCTACCACCGTAGTCACACACCCTTGCCCTACCTTCTTCCCCTGAATACAAAGTACGGTCATTATAGCTGTATCTAGACTGAAAGATGCCTCAAATACCGCTATAATGACCGTACGTTGTACTCGGGGGAAGAAGGTAGTCTGCCGCATTGTTCCGTTACGAGTCGACAACACACCACTAGAAAAATCCAAATTTGAAACTATGACCGACAGATTCTGTGCTTCGCACCAAGATCAAGGCTATATGTATTTCTTCAAATCGCGCAGGTATTAGCTGGGTGCAGATGACGACGACAATCCCCAGAGATGGGAAAGCCAAGGGTACTACTCATTCCCGATAGAGTCTAGAGGACTGCATATGAAATCCAATAGTACTTCTCCAATTAATAGCAGCTCGAAAGATGCACGGAATCTTCACTATTAATTTCCGCCCAGAGATATGCTACCAGATATGCTACAAATTGAAACGGTATTCACCTGT